GTTGGGGGTGTGGCTTGTTCTAGGAACGGACACAGTAGAGGTCGGAGAGGTAGGTGCAGCTGAGGCTGGGGAAGCCATGGGGAAGCAGATTGTCATGTCTGACAGCAGGCACCCAATAAACATATATATATATATTTTGGAGAGGTTTTTGCTATAGGGCACGTGCACTCGCCAGCCAGACAGAGAGAGACATAGAGACAGAAAGCGAGAAATCACCCCCCAGGGGGGATGGCCACGCCGCAGTCCCTTCTCCTCCATTCTCCTCTCGGGATCTTGGGCACGCACACACACACGCCCGGCATGAGTTTTAAGCCACCGGGTCCGGGATGCGAACCACGGTCGACTACGTGGGAGTCCAGCGACATAGCCATTACGCTAACTGCTGGTTCCCACCAATAAATATTTTTTGACAAAATGAAAGAATGGGTAGTACAGTCCAGTCAAAAAACAAAACAAACGAGAACATCCTGTCATACAGAGTATCAGGAGTGGGTTCAGGTGCAGCCAGGAGGTGGGATGACTGAATCAGTTGTCATCTCTCTGATTAATTATGGAGGTCTCTGTTTCCTCTCTGTCTCCTCGTTTCTCTTTCTCCATATCTTTCTCTCGTGGAAGAAATAAACACACCGAAAAAAAAAGTTAAATACCTGAAATATCCTGTTACCTCGATATTTACGATTCTGTAGGCTATACCCCTTGTGGAGAGCGTTTCTGATGAGGACATTATTCCTGCTAAGTTTCCGTAAATCATCAGAAGAGTTACTTTGTCCTCACCTGGGCTTTAGATGAACAACAGAAAACTTACCAATTGCTAAAAGCTGACAGACTGTGTGTGTCTGGAAACAGGAGGCCTAGGAAAACTCGGTGTAGCTGAAACCACTTGTCACATGATAGAAATTAAACATGAACTCCAAAAGTAAACTTTATAAGCTTTATACAAAGATAGCATCTGAAATCTCTTTTGAAGACATCTCCAGTTTTGCCCCAATCTTCATGCGTGCGGAATTCTGGAACTGCTAAGAAATTCACCGCCCTCGTCTACTCTGACATGAGGGCAACACCTCCCTGCGTGCCACTGTGGGCCTGGCACATGGCGAGGCACAAGGGAGGTCACTCTTTAATGACGACCAAAGCGAGAACAAAGAGCAGAATGGCTGTGCAGATGCTTTTAAGCCAAAGTGGCACCGAGTGCAGCGGCTGGTCACAGACCAGGACGCGAGTCTTCAGGGGCTTGATGATGCGCCCTCTCTGGGTCAGAATGGCGCCTCGGGCCCCAGCCCACCTCCCCGGCCCCTGTAGGCGGTACTGGTATGGGGTGCAAGGTCCAAAGAAGATTTCCATGGCCAGTTTTGGGTCCCACAGGAAGAAGGAGAGCAGGCTGGGCTTCACTCCTATTTCCGAAGCAATTTCATCCATGTAATCCACATACTGCACTCTGCGGGTATCCCGAGGGTTATTCAGGAACCTGAAGGAAAAAATCAGAAACTCTGAGTCCAATGATGACGTCCAGCCCAAGCATAAAGACGCTGGTGGACCTTGTGTGAGGGGTAACGTACACTTAGCAATAGCAACTGAGCGATTGTGACTTGGACAACAACGGTTTCCAATGACTCTGGCCTCAGTGATTTCTAACAAAATATTTATGCATGTGGGCTTTTTTCTCCCATGAATTTTTCAGACGTGTACAATATCCTCAACCAGACTGGCGTGCAGTGTATTCATGTTGGGAGAATTCACTTTGCAAGTGAAGTGCTGCATAGTGATTGTATAAAAGAAATTAAAGTAAAATAAAATACAATAAATCTTAAGAAAGTTTTTGAATGGTAGTGGGTGGGTTTTAGAAGATTTTTGTCTTGTTGATGTTATTTTCCATTTCCTAAATTCTGCATTTTGGCTGTGCATCTGGTTCTTATCCAGGCTGTCATCTCATCTCGGTAAATCCGTGGTGAGGGCTCTGATGAATGAATGGTACAGGTCTGTTATTTAGGTTTCTATGACATTAATTTGATTTAAGTGCTACCAGAAAGCAATTTCTGGCCCACTTTCTTAAATCAGAGTTGCTGGCTAACTGGCTGTCCTAAGTACATAAGGCCTTCGATTGCAGAGCGCACGCTGTCACATTCACGTTGGACATTCTTGACAGTGTTTGTTGAATAGAAATAAATTAAATTCCCAATGTCAGTGGTTGAGAATAATTTTCCATTAAGATTTGGCATGATCTACAAACTTCTGACCTCACATCAGAATTTTAATCAGATTCTGTAGCGATTTGTCAACTCAGTTTCCACATTGATTTATCTTTCCAACTGTCTTAAAGAATGAAGCAATTCTTCACTTCTATTTTTTTACGCTGTACATCTCTGAGACTATCCTGAATTTACAATTGTGTACTGCATCAACCGTTCCATGGACTTTAAACAAAATCTCACCATTCCATGGTGGACTACACTGCGCACATTCCACCCCGAAAACCTTCCATACATAACATCACACTTGGTTTAGAGGAAATTTAAAATAACGATAATATGGAATTTCACCTAGGAAAATAGACCCAGCTTCTAAGGTGAGAAAACTATAAAGAACGCTTGACAGGCAACAGATCCATCTACACATGTTCAATTGACTTTCACCATGAAACAAATTTCTTACTCTTTTTCAAATTTTTTTCTCTTCTTTTTTATGTCAGCCATCATGCCACTCACTGAAGGTAATTTGTTCAATCCTAGGAAAGAAATTCCAAATTTGAATATAGCTTTCTTTTCTAAGTTTATTATTTATTTATTTATTCCACAGGAGAGAGGGAAAGA